CGGCGGGCCTCGCCTCGACACCCTGCGCTCAGATCGCACCCGGGCAGAGGTCCGCGGAGCAGCGGTGCAGGCAGGCTTGCTGTTCTCCCAGGTTCGGCCCTTCCCCGCCTCCGTGCCCGGGGTATCTCCCCTGGGCCCACGCGGGTCCCGTGACGCGACTCTCGAGATCTGTTGTTTCTTGTCCTCTGGCGCGTAGCGGTCGTTGCCCAGGCCCCCCCCCCCCCCGCGTGTCCCTTCCCCCCCCCGAGTAACGGTAACGATCGTTTGTGGGTTGTGGGGAGATGTAGAGTGGGGGCCCACGCCAAGGAACACCCTTCTTGCCTCCAGGGTGCCCTGGGTTTCTTGGGTGTTGATGGTTTCGCGATGGAAAGCGTGGCGTGCCCACACCAAAGATCAATGGACGTCCTGGGGTCTCAGGGTCGGGTTTCTGGTGGAAGGTTTCTTGTGGACTGGCCTCAGCTGTATGGACCCCCCACCCGCGTGCTGGCACTCGCGCGCAATGTGTGGCGATCGCAGCGTGCCCCAACTTCGGATGCAACTCCTGGGAGGCCAAGTTCCGACTCTGCCCTGGTCCGCAATCCGGCCTAATCCCGCCTCATCTGGCTGAATCCCACTAGTTCGAGGCCCAGTCCGGCGTATCCGCCTCCCAATGGGTCTCAATCCTTCTCAATCCTTCCGGCGAAGACCTCCCAGCAGTTGATTCCTAATCCCACCCCGACGTGCCCCACCCCGCCCAAGCGTTACCGTTATCTGCCTCCCCCACGCACACCCTGGGTGGCGACGCCTTGCCCAGAATCATAAGAAACAACCTCAGGTCTTGGGGTCGTTTGTGAGGAGAATCCCGGAGGCCTCGCGCGGCGCCTATTAGTTGTCCTGTCCAATCCACACGTCAGCTTCGCAAGCTATGGGTCGACGCTCGCGCGGCGATGCTCTGGCGTCAGCCCGACGTGAATCCGGCGCAATTCCGACGTAGCCCGACGCGAACCCGACGCAAATCGGACGTGGATCCGACGTAAATTTGGTCTCAAATTGCCCGGCAAGGCCTCCAGGCACGTCTTCATAAGGTCGTCTTTGGGGTCTTCGAGGGTCTCGGGGTCGTCTCTGATGGGGAACGTCGTGGGCACCTGGCCCAGCGCAACCTCTGCGGCCGAAATCTATGGCGCCCACTCGCTAAACGCAGATGGGCTCCAGGAGGTTCTCGCGACATACTCCATGAGCGCCCAGATCAGGGGCAACGATGGGGGGGGATAGGCATAGAGCGGGATGCATCGACCCCCAATCGCCCAGTGATCGCCGATAGTGACCCGACAGCCCCAACCTGCCCAGGAACGTTCGGATTCACTATCGGGGGCCTATCGCCGATTTATCGGCGATGTACTGCTGATTCCAAGTCGATGCATCCCCCCTATGGCAGTCCCCCCTTATCGTTGCCCTTCACCAGAAGGCCCAGAGTTTTGGCAAATGGGGGGTCATTCCTTGTCAGAGTCCTGTGGCACTTCTCCTGCAAGTTGCCTCTGAAATACAACATCCAGAAGTCTTCCCGGCTCGATGTCGGGATATCCCACGACATGACGGGATAGTTGTTGCGCGCGAAGTTGAGATGGGAGCCTTGAGGTCGGGGTCTGGGATTGAGTGTGCGTTCTGGAGGCAAACTAGCCTCAACAATTCTATTTAAAACATTCTAATAATACTCTGATCCAACTGATTCAACTCTGGCCCAGAACTCTGTTTCATGTTTTATTTTCTCGAAATTCTGATTTAACCCTGGTCTGAATTCCGATTTACTTTTGATCCGGCTCTGTCCCCAACAAGAGCTAAATCAGAGTTAAATCAGAGTTCCAGACCAGAGCTAATTCAGAGCTTCAGCTAAACCAGAGAGATGAACCAGAGTTTCAGGTCAGAGCCAAATCAGAGCTTCGAACTCAATACTAAGAGGGGGGACCCAGCTTCAAGCTACCCCCGCTCCCCTCCCTTCGAAAAGGGGGGGGAGCGTCCGAAGCTACCCCCTTCCCTTCTAAAGGGTTTCTAAGCTAGGGGGGGCCTTGCTAAAGGGGGGGGGGGCTTCGAAGCTAACCCCCCCTCCCTCCCTTTTCCGGAGCCGAAGGTGAGCCCAGGCTTTCTTTTCAAGGCGGGGCGGGGCTTCGGAAGCTACCCCCACCCCTCCTTCCTTTTTGGGTCTGGACAAGGGGAGCGGCTTCAAGCAACCCCGCCCCCCCTCCTGTGCAAAGGAGGGGGGGGGGCTTCCGAAGCTACCTCCCCCCCCCCTCCCTTCCGGGGCTCTGGCAAAATGGCTGGATCCTTGACGACAGGTGCGCACCGCAGCGCCAGACAACGAAATTGGAGAATAACGTCGACCCCCGGTTCGTTTCCTGATTCTTGCTTTCTTGTTTTCTCGGCCCCTGGTTCGTAGTCTCGTTTTCTCGGACCCTGATTCCTTTTACCGTTTTTTCATGTTCTCGGCCCCTGGTTCGTTTTCTTGTTTTCTCGTGTTTTCGGCTCCTGGGTTGCGGTCTCGTTTTCTTTGACCCTGGTTCGCGTTCTCGTTTTCTCGTTTTCTCGGCGCCTGGGTCGTGGTCCAGTTTTCTCGGGCCGTGCTTCGTATTCTCGTTTTCTCGGCGCCTGGGTTGTGGTTTTCTTTTCTCGGACGCTGGTTCGTATTCCCGTTTTCTCGTTGTCTCGGCCCTTGGGTGGTGGTCTCATTTTCTCTGACCCTTCTTTGTTTTCTCGTTTCTTCGTTTTCTCGGCTCCTGGGTCGTGGTCTCGTTTTCTCGAACCAAGCGTGTTCTGGTGATCTCGGCCCCTGGGTCGTGGGTCGTTTTCGCGTCTTCTCATTTCCTCGGCTCCTGGGTCGTGGTCTCGTTTTCTCGGGGCCTGGTTCGTTTTCTCGTTTTTTTGTTTTCTAGGCCCTCGGGTCGTGGTCTCGTTTTCTCGGGAACTGGTTCGTGTTTTCGTTTTCTTGTTTTCTCGGCCCCTGGTTGTAGTTTCGTTTTCTCGGACCCTGGGTCGTGGTCGTGTTTTCTCTGACCCTGGTTCGTTTTCGCGTTTTCTGTGCCCTTGGGACGTTGTCTCGTTTGCTCGGACTTTGTTTTGTTTTCTCGCTTTCTCATGTTCTCGGCCCCTGGGTCGTGGTCTCGTTTTCTCTGACCCTGCTTCGTTGTTTTCTTTTTCGTTTTCTCTGATTTTGTTTTGTTTGTGTTGTTTTTTCGGGCCCTGGTTCGTGATCTCGTTTTCTTGTTTTCTCAGCCCCTTGGTCGTGGTGCCTTTTTTCCTCGGACCCTTGTTCGTTGTCTCGTTTTTTCGTGTTCTCGGCCTCTGGGTCGTGGTCTCGTTCTCTCTGACCCTGGCTCGTTTTTTGTTTTTTCGGCCCCTGGATCGTGGTCCCGTTTTCTCGGACCCTGGTTCGGTTTCTCGTGTTCTCCGTGTCTCGGCCCTTGGATTGTGGTTTTGTTTCTCTGACGCTGGTTCGTTTTCTCGTTTTCTCGCCCCCTGGGTCGTAGTCTCGTTTTCTCGGGCCCCGGTTCGTTTTCTCGTTGTCTCAGGCCCTGGGTCGTGGTCTCGGATTCTCAGGCCCCGGTTCGTTTTCTCGTTTTCTCGGCCCCTGGGTTTTTGTCTTGTTTTCTCGGCCCCTGGTGCGTTGTTTTGTTTTATCGTTTTCTCGGCCCCCTGGAGCGTGGTCTCGTTTTCTCTGACCCTGATTCGTTGTCTTGTTTTCTTGTTGTATCGTCCCATGGGTCGTGGTCTTGTTTTCTCGTACCTTTGTTCGTTTTCTCGTTTTCTTGTTTTCTCCGCCCTTGGGTCGTGGTCCAGTTTTCTCGGACCTTGGTGGGGTTATCGTTTTCGCATTCTCTCTGCCCCTTGGTCGTGGTCTCGTTTTCTCGGATCCCATTTCGTTTTCTTGTTTTCTCGGCTCCTGGGTCGTGGTCTCGTTTTCTCTGTTCCGGTTCGTTATCACGTTTTTTTTGCTCCTGGGTCGTGGTTTGGTTTTCTCGGGCCATGGTTCGTTTTCTTGTTTTCTCGTTTTCTCAGCTCCTGGGTCGTGGTCTCGTTTTTTTCTGAACCTTGTTCGTTTTCTCGTTTTCTCTGCCCCTGGGTTGTGGTCTCGTTTTCTCTGGCCCCGGTTTGTGTTCTCGTTTCTTGTTTTCTCGGCGCCTGGGTCGTGGGCCAGTTTTCTTGGACCCTGGCTAGTTTTTGTTGTTTTCTTGTTTTCTCGGCCCCTGGGTCGTGGTCTTGTTTTCTCGGACGCTGGTTTGTTTTCTCGTTTTCTCGTTTTCTGGGCCCCTGGTTCGTAGTCTCGTTTTCTCGGGCCCTGATTCCTTCTATCGTTTTCTCGTTTTCTCGGCCCCTGGGTCGTAGTCTCGTTTTTCCAGGACCGATATTCGCGTGATCTCGGCCTGGGTCGTGGTCTCGTTTGTTCGTACGGACCTTGGTTAGTCTTATCGTTTTCTCGTGTTCTAGGCCCCTGGGTCGTGGTCTCGTTTTCTCGGACCCTGGTTCATTGTCTCGTTTTCTCTTTTTCTTGGCTTCTGAGTTTTTGTTTCTTTTTCTCGGGCCCTGGTTTGTTTTCTCGGTTTTCTTGTTTTCTCGGCCCTTGGGTTGTGTTCTCGCTTTCTCGGGCCCTGGTTCGTTTTCTCGTTTTTCGTGGTTTCGTTTTCTCGGGCACTTGTTTGTTTTCTCGTTGTCTCGTTTTGTCGGCCCCTGGGTCGTGGCCTCGTCTTATCGGACCCTGGTTCGGTTTCGCTCTCTTTCCTACCTCGTCCATCCCTTCCCTCCTTCCTCCGCTTCCATCTCCCCCCCTTCCCATCTTCCCCCGTTTGCGCCCCTCTTCCTCCCCCCCTCTCGTTCTCAGTTTGTCTCTTTCCTCTGTCCCTTCTCCCCCCCTTATCTTCCACCTTCCTCCCCCTCTTCCCGGCCCTTCCTTATCCTCCACCGTCCCTCCCTTTACCTTTCCTCCTCCCCTGATCCCCTCCCTTATCCATCCACCTTCCCTTATCGCTCCGGCCCTAGCTCCCGCCTTCGATCCCGCCCTCGCTCTCGCCGTCGTTCCCGCCCTCGTTCCCGCCCTCGTTCCCGCCCTCGTTCCATCCTTCGTTTCCGCCCTCGTTCTCGCCTTCGCTTCCGCCGTCGTTCCCGCCCTCGTTCCCGCCGTCGCTCCCGCCCTCGTTCTCTCCCTCGTCCCCGCCTTCGTTCCCGCCCTCGTTCCCGCCGTCGTTTCCGCCCTCGTTCCCGTCCCCGTTCCCGCCCTCGATCCCGCCCTCGTTCTCGCCCCCGTTCTCGCCCTCGTTCTTGCCCTCGTTTCCGCCCTCGTTCCCGCCCGCATGCTCGCCCTCGTTTCCGCCCTCGTTCTCGCCATCAGTGTCGCCCTCGTTCTGGGGCTGCCCGAGGCCCCCCGGGGAGCCCAAGGGCTGCCCGGGGAAATCAGACTTGAAACAGAGTTTCGGCCAGACCTCAAACAGATTTCAGATATTCGGCCAGACCTGAAACAGACTTCAAACAGACCTTAAACAGACCTCAAACAGACCTTAATCAGAGTTTGGCCCAAACCAGACCTCAAACATACCTCAAACAGACCTCAAACAGACCTCAAACAGACCTCCCGGAGGTTCCCCGGAGGTTCACCGGGGGGTTCCCGGGAGGTTCCCTGGAGGTTCCCCGGAGGTTCCCCGGAGGTTCCCCGGAGGTTCCCAGGAGGTTCCCAGGAGGTTCCCAGGAGGTTCCCCGGAGGCGCCAGGGGAATTCCCGAGGCGCCTGGAGGAATCCCGGAGGCGCCCAGAGGCGGCCCCCCACCCGCATTCTCGCCCTCGCTCCCCCCCTCGTTCCCGCCCTCGCTCCCGCCCTCTTTCCCGCCCTCGTTTTCGCCCTCGTTCTCGCCCTCGTTTTCGCCGTCGTTCCCGCATTCGTTCCTGCCTTCTTTCCCCGCCCTCGTTCTCGCCCTCGTTCTCGCCCTCGTTTTCGCCCTCGTTCCCGCCTTCGTTCCCGCCTTCGTTCCCGCCCTCGTTCTCGCCCTCGTTCCCGCCCTCGTTCCCGCCCTCGTTCTCGCCTTCGTTTTCGCCTTCGTTTCAACCTTCGCGCCCGCTGTCGCTCCCGCCCTCGTTCCCGCCGTCGCTTCCGCCTTTGTTCTCGCCCTTGTTCCCGCCCTCGCCCTCGCTCTCGTTTACACCCTCGTTCCCGCCTTCGTTCTCGCCCTCGTTCTCTCCATCGCTCCCGCCCTCGTTCCCGCCTTCGTTCCCGCCCTCGTTCTCGCCCTCGTTCCCGCCTTCGTCCCCGCACTCGTCCCCGCCTTTGTTCTCGCCTTCATTCCCGCCCTCGTTCCCGCCCTCGTTCTCGCCTTCGTTCGCGCCCTCGTTTTCGCCCATCACCCTTGCCATCGTTCCCGCCCCAGTTCCCGCCCGCGCCTCCGCCTTCTTTCTCGCGATCGTTCCTACCCTTGCCCCTTGTCCCCGCCTTCGTTTTGGCCCTCGCTCCCGCCCCCGTTCCTTCCGTTTTCGCTCCCTCTCTGGGCCGCTTGTTCGGTCCTCCGACCTCGTTCCCGCCCTCGCGCCCGCTCTCGCCCCCGCCATCCTTTCCCTTTTCCTCCTCCGCCTCATTCTCGGCCTTTCTGATCTGCGTCTTTTTCCACCCTCCTCGGTGCCGCCGTTCCCTCTCTCTTCACTCGCCGTCCCTCTCCTCCTCCCCCTCCTCCTCCTTCCCCCTGCTCGTCCCCCCTTCTTCCTCCTCCTCCTCCTCCTCCTCCCCCTCCTCCTCCTCCTCCTCCTCCTCCTCCTCCTCCTCCTCGTCCTCCTCCTCCTCCTCCTCCTCCTCCTCCTCCTCTTCCTCCTCCTCCTCCTCCTCCTCCTCCTCCTCCTCCTCCTCCTCCTCCTCCTCCTCCTCCTCCTCCCCCTCCTCTCCCACCTCCTCCCCCCCCTCCTCCCCCCCCGCCGCCCCTCGCGCGCCTCCCCCCGCCCCGCTTGGATTTCCGAGCCCCTGCTTGCTTTCGCAGGGCGTCGTCGCCGCAAGGAGGCGCGCGCCGCCGACGGGCGCCCTGTCCATCCTGGGCCCCGATTTCCGGCCCGAGGCCGAAGTGTAGGAGCAAGAAGAAGAGGAGGAGGACGGGGGAGGGGAGGAGGAGGAGGAGGAGGAGGAGGAGGAGGAGGAGGAGGAGGAGGGGGAGGAGGAGGGGGAGGAGGAGGGGTCGGTGGGAATCCCCCCCGTCTAGAAGGCCCCAGAGGCGGCCCAAGAGTTCGCACGACATCGCGCGGTGGACCCCCTGGAGGAACGCCCAGGACAAGTCCAAAAACCGAAGAGGCTTGGGATATTGCTCCGAACCGCCCCGGCGGCCACCGCGAACAACCGGTCGGCCCCCAAGACGGGGCCAGGGGAAAAATTGCAAGGGGGCCCGAGGGCCCTCCTCCCGAAGATGACCCCCGAGACTGAGAGCAATCACCCAAACGCCGTTCAAAAGCCGCCGAGAGCCGAAAAATCGCCGAGCAACCCCCGAAACAAAATTTTGATGCCCGCGAAGAGCCCCCCAAAAAACCCGTGGAGCCCCATATTTATTTGCATGCGTTTCGTCTTTTTTAGGGCGGTTCCGGACCAGAAGCCTGCGAGCCGAACAGGATCGTCGCCCCAGGGGCTCGCGGGGATTCCGCCCGCGCGGCGCTTCCAACGGAGTCTGGGCGGCCTTCCAGCCAGCCGGCCGAACCGTAGACGCGCGCGCGCGCACCTCGCGCTCAAGCGCCCAGATTGCCCAAGATGGCCCTCGAAACGGCCGCGGCCCCACCGCGAGGGCCCAAGGTTCCACTTCGAACGCGCGCGCAGGGGCCCTGGGCAGCCCCAGGGCCGCTTTAAAACTACCCCACCCGCCCGACGGGCCCCCCAGATGGCCCAGGAAAGCCTCCCAAGGGCCCCGGAGGGCACCGAGGCGTTTCCAAGACCGCTGCCCAGATGCACCCACCCAAAGCCTTCAACGCGCCAGGTGGCCCGACAGCACCACGACGCCAGACGGCTCAAAACAATCCTGGCGCGGCCCAAAAGATCGCCGAAGGTTCCCTTGAAGGCCCGCCGAAGGCCCCTCCGCAGCGTTCCCCTGGCGGCGCCCACGCCGGCATGGGGGCGACCCCCAAGCCGCGGCCCCCGCCCGGCCCCTTCGCACCCCGCCGGAGCTGTGGAAATCTCCCCGGGCCTCGCGCCGCCTCCGACGCCGATGAAGAACCTCCCCGCGTCCCCGAGCTGGCGCGGGGCAAATCGGCGACTCCGTCCCCAGCCGTTCTACACCACGAAGCGACGAAACAAGAACCACCGCTAATCCGATCACGCGCGACCCCCCCGCCGTCGACGCAAAAACGGAGGGGGGGGGGGGAACGTGTCTGAGCAAACGAAAGTGCCCAGCAACTGCCAGGCAAAACCAGCCCGCTCACAACGCGAGCCGATTTTGACACATTTTCGCCCCCCTGCCAGTGCTGCTTGGACAAATCTTCCCCGAATGCACCCAGAGGAGCCCCCGCCGTGGTCCAAAATGCCACGACACCTTCCGTGCCCTTCCAAAGCCCGCCGCTTCCCGCGGAACCCATTGCCCCAACGCTCTGGCACACTCCGGCAGCTTCCGAGAAAAAACTCCCAAGCCAAACCCCCCATGCACCTTCAAAGCCCTGCTAGGCTTTCGAAATTGCTCCTGATCTCTGAGCAATCCTTCCCAGCCCCCCCTTTCCCCCAACCTCGCCGAACGCATTCCCGGGCCACCTCCACCTTCAAAAACCCTCCGAGCCCGTCCCAGGCTCTGCTCATTTCCCGAAGCCTTGCAGCAACCGCCCAGGGCACTTCCGCGCCCCCGAGCCCTCCGAAAAGTGCGGCGCATCTCCTCTGCGCTGCCCACCCCCGACCTGTCACGGGCGGGCGGCGGGGGTTGGGGCAGGCACCGCGCTGCGCATCCTTTCGCGGCGCGGCAGCCGGCAGCCCTGCGGGGCGAGCCTCGGGGGGGCCTTTTCCCCCCCCAGCTGCAGTTGAGCAATTTTTGGGCAGGGCTGCGCAGGCGGGGGGCGCTGCCCCGTGCCCCCCGCGCAGGCCTTAGCTAAAGCGTTGCCGTAGGGCGGCGTGCGCAGGCGGGCCAAACTCGCAGTATTTGGCATTTGGCGGCGGGCCCCCCAGCCATGACCGGCCGCTTGGCTAGCGCATTCGTTCTGTTGTTCTGGAAGACGCGCGCGCACAGGGCCGACCCGGCAGCGTTCTGGGCCGACGCCGCGACGTTGGTTTCGGCGCGCCCAACCCGAACCATAATCGTACTTTAATTTGAGTTCCCAGTCAGACCTAACTCAGACTTGGGTTTTAGGGCCAGAGTTGAATCAGAGTTCCAGTCAGACCTAGATCAGACTTGCGTCTTAGGGCCAGAGTTAAATCGGAGTTCCAGTCAGACCTAAATCAGAGTTGGCGCTGAGGGCCAGACTTTGAATCAGAGTTCCAGCGCAGACATGAATCAGACCCTCATCGGAGTTTTGGGCCTGGACAGAGAAACAGAGTTTGCCCCCAAAGGACGCACTCAAGTCTGTGAGACGCGGTCATGATGGCATTGCACGTAAAAGCGCTGGTGTGATTTCGGCGCCGGGTCTGCATGTCTACATTACGGTGGGGATTCGTTGGATGGCGTGTCGCGCTGCTGGATTTTGCCCACCACGCTTCGGCGCGACACGCTAACTATCCATTCCTCGGTCCCCAGTCCACGTCCCGAGCCTTTTCCGGGCCTCCCGCCCCGCGGAGCGGAGCGACGCGCCATCCGCTCGCAGTGCGCCGCGTGTCGCCAGGGCCGCCGGAGCGACACGCAGTGCAGAAACTCCCGACCGTAAGGCCTAGTTGTTGGCACCAACACCAATATCGGCGGTGTGCCTCCACCGGGGCAAGAGTACCCCGATCTCGGCGATGGTGGTCATACTCTGGCTTCCCAGGCGGCCGAATGATTACCACCAACACCGACATCTAAGATCAGTTTCTCCCGGTGGAGGCACTCCCCGGTGTTTGATGCCCTGTTCCAAGCCCCCAATATTCCCCGATCAGTGTTTTGGGCCCTCCTGGGAATCGGAGGCCGAGGGGGCGGAGGAGGAGGAGGGGGAGGAGGAGGAGGAGGAGGAGGAGGAGGAGGTGGAGGAGGAGGAGGGAGGAGGAGGAGGAAGAGGGGAGGAGAAAGAGGAAAAGGAGGAGGAGTTGGGGAGGAGGAGAGACGAGGAGGACGAGGAGGACGAGGAGGACAGAGGAGGAGGAGGAGGAGGAGGAGGAGGAGGAGGACGAGGAGGAGGAGGAGGAGGAAGGAGGAGGAGGAGGAAGGAGGAGGGGAGGAGGAGAGGAGAGGAGGAGGAGGAGGAGGAGGAGGAGGGAGGAGGAGGAGGAGGGAGGGAGGAAGAGGAGAGGA